TTCCATTCCCAAATCCATGCCGGCTTTTTGATAGGGTTTGTCCCAAGCTCAGGGAAAAGCTTTATTGATAGTTTTAAGATGTGCTGGTATGGTCTCAGAATGTGTCTCAGAAGGCTCTTAGTAACTGGCCTATAGCTCAGGTAGGGTGCTGGCCTACTACACATGAAGCCCTGGGTTACTCTACAGGACCTCAAAAACTGGGTGGGCATGGTAATAAGTTCTGTTATTCAAGCATTTTAGAGACAGAAGCTAGGTGTATACCATTCTTATCTATAACTTAACCAGGACTCTGAAAAGCATAGGTTTTGGTGAGGAGAGTAAGGGCTTATAGATTAGCTTAAATATATCATTTAATAGTTGACATGTATTGAGTTTCTCAGTATTTTGACTACAAAGGAAAAGCCATGTATAGGTGATTCATAGCTAGCTCCTTCATTTATCCCTGAGAGATGAGTGTTAGTTATACAGTTGAGATAACAGGAACAAAGGTTACTGACCTGGCAAGCAGGAAGCCAGGATTTAGATGTAGAAGTCAGGCCCCTGAGTCTTTACTGTCAGCCACTTTCTGTAGCATTTCACTGCTGTAAATCTTTTCATTCAGAAAGTTAAGGCTGGGCCCCCTTTTCCTATGGTACAGTTACCGAGCTCAGTTTCACTAGATTATATTCTTGAATAGAAGTTTGGGACATTAGACAAATGGGATAGACATTGGATGTAGAAGAAAACAAATAACAGGACAGGAGCCTACCACAGAAGGCCTCTGAAAGACTCTACCTAGCAGTGTATCAAAGCAGATGCTGAGACTCATAACCAAACCTTTGGCAGAGTGCAGGGGATCATATGAAAGAAGTAGGAGTTAGTAAGACCTGGAGAGGACAGGAGCTCCACAAGGAGACTGTTTCTCCAACCAAGGACCATGCATGGAGAAAACCTAGAACCCCTGCACAGATGTAGCCCATCATAGCTCAGTATCCAAGTGGGCAACCCTAGTAAGGGGAACAGGGACTATTTCTGACATGAACTCAATAGCTGGCTCTTTGACCTTCCCCCACCCCACCCTGAGGGAGGAGCAACCTTGCTGGGCCACAGAGGAGGACATTGTGGCCAGTCCTGAAGATACCTGATAAAACAGGTCAGATGAAAGGGGAGGAGGACCTCCCCAATCAGTGGACTTGGGAAGGGGCAGGGAGGAAATGAGGGAGGGAGGGTGGGATTGGGAGGGAATGAAGGAGGGGGCTACAGCTGGGATACCTTTAATAAACTGTAATTAATATAAAACACTTAATTAAAAAAAGGAAGTTTGGGACATGTCAGTGTTTTTACACTTAGCATGTGGGGCAACTGCTAAAGTGAGCTTAAACCTGGAAGCTTGCTGGGATTGTTGTCCTTTTTTTTTTTTTTAGATGTATGCCCTATTTTTTTCTATTCTTTATTAATTACACTTTATTCACTTTGTATCCCCCCTGTGGTTTTTGTCCGTTTTTTTGTTTTTGTTTTTGTTTTTTCTTTTCAGATCTGGAATTACTATTGGAAGTATTTTGCTCTCAAGCTGCCAGGCCCCTGTGGGGCTTTTTCCCCCCTTGCTTTCTGTGTCAGTATCTGCTTTATTATCCAGTCTTGTTTATTCATGGTGCGCTGCTTCTCTGTATTTCCATATAGAGCAGAGCAGATGCTGATGTGCTTTGGTCCTCGTGCAGTCTGCTTTTCCCTCTTGATAGCTCGTTACTGTACAAAGAAGATCAGGCATTTCAGGCTCGGTTGCAGCTCTCCCATCTGTCACATGAGCCTTGACCATTTTATCTTGGAGTTGGCTAAAATATTAAGCTTTGTACAAAACAAGATAGCAGTCATAAAAAGCTTGATAGACAATTTTAGCTTGTAAATGTGTTTCCTTTTTCCATATGCATGAGCTGTGGGATGTGCATATAGAAGTTTGTAGTGCCGTGCTGGGTTACTAACACGTCCGGTAGCCTGTTGATGGTGTGCACGCCTTTAATCTCAGTATTTGGAGGCAGAGGAAGGCAGATCAGGCCAGCCTGCTCTACAGACTGAGTTTCAGGGCAGCAAGAGCTACGCAGACTAATCCTGTCTGGACAGAAAGCATGGGATGAGCATTAGGTAAATTAAAGTTTTAAGTACATAATGATGAATAAGGCAGTATTTACCAGGGAAAAGTGCCCTTTTAGAATCAAGACATCGTTGAGCTTTTCACTGTTAAAAACATTGAGAGACTGTATTGAGATTAAGATGTTACAAAGATTATGGTTTCAGATAGTTCTTTCTATAGTGTTGTTATTTCAGACTAAATGCTCTTCAGAAGATCTTAAGTTTTATTCAAAATAATTTTTGCCTTTTGTTAAACCATAAGCAAGAGAATGAGAAATAATAATATTGAATCTGTTTTGAGATTTGAGGCTATCTGTAATGCTGAATTACATGTTACGGTTGGCAACTCACGGATGATTTGTTAACTCATCTAGAACAGCAGGCAGGACTGGGTGCTCTCATGAAGAAGTAAACTTGCGGGTGGAATCTGGACAACACCAGGAGATACTGTACAGGGATGTCAGACTAGCGAACAGTTATCACTGCTCTTCAGTAAGACAGCTCTACCACAATGGACAGACAGGTGTATGTTGGAGGAGTGGAGTGTGGTGCTCTCTTTGGTTTATTTCAAGACAGGGTTTCTCTGTGTAGCCTTGGCTATCCTTGACTTACTTTGTAGACCAGGCTGGCCTCGAACTCAAAACAATTCGCCTGCTTCTGCCTCACTGAGTGCTAGAATTGAAGGGGTGCACCACCATGTCTGGCTGGTGTTCACATCTTAAACCGAGGCACAGAAGCTATGGGAATAGTGGTTAGAATGTGAAGCTGAGGCCAAGTGTCGTAGAACATGCTTCTAATCCAAGCACTCAGGGAATTGGGACAAGACAATTAGGTTAAGGCCATCCTCAGCTACATACCAAGGCTACCACTCCCCAACACACACACAAGGTGTCCACAAAAGGATCTGTACACTAAACTAAAAGATACCTGTCCACCTCCTATAGTCGGGCTTATTAGTCCCCTAGCCAGATCCTTGCAGAGAAATGAAATTATATAAATGATAGTGGTTTCAGATAGCAGTATCACCCATTCATGCTGGGTCAGATCTTACTGTGTTAGTTTCTTTGGGCTGCTGTAACAAATCACCTAAAACTATTACTAGGCAGTTTGATTTTCTCACCATTCTGGAAGGCAGAAGTATGAAATCCAGTTACGTGTCAACATGGTCATTTCCCTTTCTGAAGACCGCAGGGGGGGAATCCTCCTTGGCTTCTTCCTAGTTTCTGATATCATCCAGCAGTCTTGGCTGTTTCTTAGCTTGTGTTTGTGTTAATCTTCTGTATCTTCATATTGCCATGTGACCTCATTTGAACGTCATATCCACACAGATTTGTTTCCAGGTAAAGTCCCATTTACAGTGTGGTAGATAAAGTTTTCAAGGCATTCCATTCAACTCATTACCGCTCCTAAAACTATGCACACACATTCTTAGGTAACCGAAATCTCTTCTAAAGGCTTGTGTTTAGCATACTTGTTAATATGAGGTAGAGAGCTAAGGATCGCCATAGTGCCAGTCACAAAATTAGAGCCTCTATAATGGAAGCTTCCAGTGAACTAAGAAAATCCCAAATTTAATTAGAATATCGTTTTTTGGTTGAATTTGTGTTGTCCTAACTAGTCCACAAGTCTGTGTGACCATTCTTGTACAGTATTCCCCAAAATAAGTTGAGCGGTACATACCTCATCTTTGAGCAGACGCTTAGAAAAGTGCGTCCTGAGGTCAGCAGAGGTGAGAGGGCTGTGCATGTCCCTGTGCTAAGGGCTCTAAGACACCTTGTCATTGAAGACTGAGAATCTAGGACTTTGTGCTCGGCTCGGTAATACAGGGATTACGTCATACGAACATTGTCCCTGGTTCTACCACAAGCACTGCAAAAATTTTCTTCACACAGCATTTTCCTCTTGTCTGACCATGGACTACATGTACCAGCACAGCAGCTCCACAGGGCCCAGGGAGCTGACGATCCAAGACACAGTGGATGGAAGAGCACCGTAAGAGTGAGCGCTGGCAGTCACAGCCTTATTCACTGCTTAGCACTAAATAGTCAGTAGTCTAGGTGAGATTTTGAGTGACAAAAATGTTGGAATTCCTTGTGCTGGCTGGTTTTTTTGTCCACGTGTCACAGGCCAGAGCTATTTGGGAGGCAGGACCTCGGCTGAAAAAGTGCCCTCACAAGCCTGGCCTTACTTTCTTGATTGGTGATTGATGTAGAAGGGCCAGGTCACTGCAGGAAGTGCCACCTCTGGGCTAGTGATCTGAGTGCTCTAAGGGAGCGGGCTGAGCAGGCTGGGAGGAGCAGCCCAGTAGGCCGCACTCCACCATGGCCTCTGCATCAGCTCCTGCTGCCTGGGATGAGATAAGTCATTTTCTTCTCGAGCTCCTTTTGATCATAGCGTATTACAGAAATAGAAGCCCTACTAATAGAGTCATATATTTCATTTGCCTACTAAGGTTATGTTTTATATATTTTTGTGGCATGAAGAATATATTTTTCTGGGGGAGGGGCTGGGAGGAGCGGCAGGAGGGGAAACTGGGATGTAAGATTTTTAATAAAAATAATACATTTCTGGGGCTAGAGAGATGGCTTAGCATTTAAGAGCATTGGCTGCACTTCCAAATGACCTGTGTGTGATTCCCAGTACCCACGTGGCAGCTCACAACCTCCTATGACTCCAGTCCCAGGGCATCCAGTACCCTTTTCTGGCCTTTATAGGCACCATACACATGTGGCACACAGACTTGCATTTGGGCAAAGCACACATACACATAAAGTAAAAATATTTAAAAAAAAAATACTGCTTTTTTCCTATCAATAAAAAGTGGGTTTTACATGTCATTGGAAAAGATAGTGATGGTAATTTACCAACATTTTTCTGTGTTCTTTCTCATTCAGGACAAAACTTTCGGTCTGAAGAATAAGAAAGGAGCAAAGCAACAGAAGTTCATTAAGGCTGTCACTCATCAAGTGAAATTTGGTCAGCAGAACCCACGCCAGGTAAATTGTTTAAATTGCTGTGTGTTCTGATAGGTGTGCGATATCATAGAGCACTTTTCACAGATGACTTGGTATTGGAGGTACGCTGTGAAGCGATCAGCCCTGAACTGCCAAGATCTTAACCTCTCTGGTGCCTCTGCAGCAGTACATTGTGGACAGTCCCCACCTGTTTTGATAGGGCTCATTTTTTGCAATAATTTTGCACACTGTATTACAGTGCACATCTTGTTCTCCTTGTTCAGCAGTGATCCTTGTTCGCAGCTTTTGACACTGACTTCCACGAGAAGTAGCCTTGTACATGATGTCCGTAAATGTGCTTAAGCGTCTATTCACCTGCGTAAATATGAATTGTCTACACACTTTGTGTTTCGAGGTCAGATAAACTTACAGCTCTTTTTACCTTTAATGGTTTTCCTTTGTGTATGTGGCTGCACAGCGCACCACAGTGTCCGTAGGTCAGAAGACAACTTTTGAAAGGTGGTTCTCTCTTTCTACTGGGTAGATTCCAGTAACTGAACTGAGTTCCTCAGGATTGATAGCAAATGCCTTTACTGACTGAGCCATCTCTCTGCCCCTGAACTTCCAAATTTAATAAGTTTGAACACTTTTTACAGACTACTATTCCACGTTTTTATTTCCTGTGTACCAGCTGCTGAGGTTTCTTCGTGTTTCCCTGGACGGCAAGGTTAAAGTAGCATTCCACTGTTTTCCTCACTGTGACGTTAGTCTTCACCTGCACTTGTTATCTGAGTCCCATTCAGCTCTCAAAAGTACTGATTGCCTTTTTCTTAAGATTTGTTTAAAAGCACCTTTGTTAACATTGCAGATAATTTGTTTCGTTTCTATTTTGCTGTACAGTAATTTTCAGGCGTTTTCCCTCCTTGTAGTTTGCAGTCTTTATATTGTCAGAGAAATGAACATGTCTCACTTTCCACTGATTTTCACACATAATCTTCTTAGTTTCTTGGATTTGATTTTTTTTTTCCTGTTTGCTTCATTTTCAGTCTGTAGTATGTTGTATATTTTATGTCTCTGTAAGATTGTCTTTTAAGTTGAATAGCTTCTTGTTCTAGCATCATTTCCCCACTGAGCTGGAATAGAACTACTGATATGTTAGGACCTGTTTTCTAGATCCCCGCCTGTCCTGCTTATTTCTTGTCTGTGCTATTATCCCGTTGACTTTCTTGGTTAGTGACTGGAAGTATATGCGGTTTATCCACATGACTTTAATTCTTACTCTTTCTTACATAGTTGTTCCTACATAAGAATTCATAACTTGTTCAAAGCCTTCATCTTCATTCTTTGTCTTCAGATTCTTCAGACCTTTCATCCCATAAGACTTACAGATAGCATCTTTTGTTAACTTTAATATTTTCTTTTTAAATGTCTCTTCTTTAATTCTTGGCAACACTCCTTGAACAGAGAAAAGAAAACCTCAGGTATATTTTTGAGTACAGTTTTTTAATCTAAGAATATCAGCCTAATATTATGAGATTAGTAACCTTTATCTAAAACCCATTTCTCTTCTTATTGCTATCTCCAAATCACTCTTTCCTTCTCTCACCACAACTTCATTCTTAGAGCCAAAAACTAGTGTTCTCTCAAAGTGCTGACTTTACCTGGTGTAGTAAGACTGTCTTCAGACTAAAACAAAGTTCAAACATGTTTTGTTTTCTTTTTTAAAGAAAGGACACATTGTTGCTGGTGTAATTAGATCTAAAAAGATGGTCACGTTTGTACTGAGCAGCAGGTACAGTTTTTAAAACTATTATTCTATTCCCTAAGCAATACAGTATGATGATTTAGATAGCCTGAATTACATTAAACATCATCAGTAATACTCAAGGGACTTGAGCTCCCGTGGGTTTGGGGGTGTGGAAGAGCCTGGAATTCCTGCCCACAGGTGTGCCTGTGTGCTAAGTATTGGAGACAGGCAGAACTGAGTAGAGTCTTTTCTTTCTCTGTTGTCACATAATTTTAAGCTATTTGTGGATAGTAGTCGTTTTGTCATTTGGGGGGTTGGTTGGTTTTTGAGACAGAGTTTCTCTGTAACCCTGGCGGTCCTGGAACTTGGTCTGTAAACTGGGTTGGCCTGAAACTCGTAGAAATCCCCTGCCTCTGTCTCCTGAGTGCCGGGATTAAAGGCATGCACCACTTCTGCCCGGCTAGTTTTATTGTGCAGTGGAAGCTCAGTTTTCTCTCATAGGATTCCTTTTGTGGTTGAAGAAGCTCCCTGTTCAATATTATTATTCCCTCTTTCTCTGACATCTTCCTAGTAGTTTGAGCTGTAATCTCAGATTTAATAGACCTAGAAATGTTGTAAAACTCATGATCTGCCTAAGGGTGTCACTGTGTGCAGTGTTGTATTTTGATACTTTGTTGGGTGACTAGTCTAGCACTGACACGGCTCCTAATCAGCACGGGTCACTTTGAACCTGAGCAGCAGTGCTGTCCAATAGCCCCAGGCCTGAGCTTCTTCCTGGGCTGTGTGCTACCCACCCAAGATGACCCTCCTCTTGGTTATTCCCTAGACGTCTCGCTCAGGCTGTGCCCATCCAGATTTGTGCACCAGAGCTCCCCAAAGCAGCTCTATCAGGGTGTGTGCAGGGCCCTTCTTCACTCCCATCTCCATGAAGAGTAAGTTGTGCTGTCAGTGTTCCCGAGAGAAGTGTGCTAGGGATTTAGGACAGAGCCTCTGCGGAGGCTGGGGATAGATCAGGAGAGGAGGAGAAGCAAACTGAGTGCTCTGTAAGTGTATTGCTGCTAAGCTCCGATAGACAGCTCTATAACGAGCAGCCTGAGCACATTAAATGTGAACCTGATAGGCCAGATATTTGTCAACTAGAAAGTCACGCTGATTTAACCTCTGCGTGGTCTGTTTTCCTGCCTCAGCCTCCGACATACGAAATGGCTGTGCACTGTGTCCCAGTTGTTCTCTCTCTCTCTCTCTCTCTCTCTCTCTCTCTCTCTCTGTGTGTGTGTGTGTGTGTGTGTGTGTGTGTGTGTGTGTGTGTTTTAAAGTGATTATTTCATTTTATGGTCCTTCATGTTTTGCCTGCGTGTGTATCTATGTGAAGGTTGTTAGAAGTTACAGACAGTTGTAAGCTGTTGTGTGGGTGCTGGGATTTGAACCCTGGCCTCCTAGAGGAGCAGTCAGTTCTTTGAACTGCTGAGCCATCTCTCCAGGCCCTTCTCAATTTATTCCTAACTATAAATATTTCAGATGCTTTATGGACCTCCGGTATATTCTTGTAGATGGTACAGATGACATGAGCCCATTCAGCCCAGACTACTTACATTTAAAAGAAGGGGAATCATTTTTTGTTGTTTAAACACTTGGGCTGTGTAGTTGAAGTCAGAACTTGGGATGACCTAATTGTAGCATTTGTTCATTCTTCGCCCAGTTTGTTTTGTTTTCATCGTTTTTGAGCACATTTTCTTCTTACTGATTTATTTTTCCTCTGGCTGTTTTCTTGGGTCTCTTTGGCAGATTAGGTTCTGTTTTATCTCAGACTAGGTACTGTCTAGTTGCCGTGGAGTCGGTGTCATGGCCAGTACAGCTGCCTTTGAGTAGCTCCTCCCTAGTGCTCTCTACTACGCATTTCGTGCTGGTATGTCCAAAACTGAGCTCTTCCCACCTCCTGCCCTGAAACCTGTTCCTCCTGTATTCCCTGTCCTGAGCAGTGCTTATTGTGCGTATGCTAATCCGAGGCATCTCTTCCTCTGTTCTGGCCGAGTGCTTTGATTCTGTTTCTTAAATGCTTTTCTTGTACTAATCCCTGTTTGAAACACCAGTGCTTTCCTACCTACAGCTGCAAGAGATTCTGCTTCCTTCTTGGACTGCTCGTCTGTCCTCCTCAAAGGTGCCAAACGCAGCCTGATCTGGCTACTTACCTATCCACCGAGTTAAAGTCTATCACCCACTGATCAAGCCTGAACTGGTCATTGGTATTCTCTGATCCTTTTTCTTTACAGTGGCCAGTTCTTTGTACATGCCTTTTATCAGAACACCTAGAAAGTTAGCAGTTCAATCTGATTTTCTAAGCAGAGAGAATTCTTTGTTCTCAGAGTACTGTATATAATGTATATTAACTATGTCTATCTTCACACATTATTCTGAGCTTCCTTAAATAAGTGTCATGTATTTTGTCTTCTAACAGAGGGGCTGAGCTATAAGTGTTTAGATGAATACAAACACACTAATTGTTTAGGTGTGTAAAACACTTTAACCTAGAACTGTATTGTGTATTGTGTACTGTGTCTGCTGTGAGCTCCTACACTGACAAAATCAGTGTTTTTCAACAAGGGCACTATAGTTTGTGGTGGTCACTAACCGCCACCGTGTCACTGAACATGTCGGGGTATCTTCATCTTAAGGGCAGAGGCACTCAGACATTCTGGAGCACACGTTGTTCTCATTGTAAAAAACAACTTCAATTGAGAGTTGTTTGCTAAACCCCAGGGTTAACTGTTTAATAAATGCTGTTGACGTAAACTTTATGAACCATGAGTTTTGCAGTGCTTTAATTAGGCACCTAATTATATACAAGAAAAAAAGAATTTGTTACAAAGGTTAACAATTGTAATATTTTAACCACAATAACTAATGTGCAAGCCACTTACATATAGAGGTGACATATATACACATATGGAGATATCTTTGTTATGCTAGGAATTACTGTAGTGAAAACAGTTTTGTAAGCAATCAGATTTCTGTTTTTAACTTAAATGTAGGTAGCGCAGAGTGAAGCGGAGAAGAAATTGAAGAAAGATGACAAGAAGAAAGAACTGCAAGAACTAAATGAGCTGTTCAAGCCTGTAGTTGCTGCACAAAGAATAAGTAAAGGTAAAATGTAAATGTCAGAAGTGCTGTCTTTCTCGTGTGTAATTTGTGTTTCAGATTTTATTTGTGTGGAGCTGGGGTGATAGCTGCGTGTCCTCTTAAAGAGGACCTGGACCCAGTTCTCAGAACCCACAGCCTGTGGCTCACAGTCACTCATAACTCCAGGTTCAGGGGATCCAATGCCCTGGCCACCTCAAGCACCGACAGCATACATGGTACATATATGTGCGTGCAGCCAGGCACACACACACACACACACACACACACACACACACACACACACACACACA